TACCGAGCTATGCATGATTAGAGACCTTCCCTCTTACTCTGTGTTAGGCTACCTCTGCCTGTGTAAGCAAAGCAATAAAACTGAAGGCATACCAGCACGGTGTCCTAGTGTATCACTTCAAGCGTGCCCTCAGCCTGGCTCTGAGCAACCATGATGTGGTGCATCCATCCCTCCCATGACATACAGCCAGATTGCTCCAGGGTGCAGATGGAGGGATGGCTGCAGAAAGGCAGGTGTGTCCTGGGGATGGATAGCCTCAAGGAGCTGCAGCTGAGCTGCCTTTGCAATTTAGCTGAGGTGAATGGATTGCTCCCCACAGGCAGGGATGTGATATCCCTGCCAGAGATGTCTTCAGAGAGGGGAGAAGTTTTGGTTGACACAACAGCATGGCCGACCTGAGCAGACTCCTGACAGCATCCATCTGTCTGCTGTGAGAGAAATAAACAGCTGCTTACAGCTGAATGGGAGGGATTTGTCCTATTCATCCTCACTTATTAATAATCTCAGAAGCAAGGGGAATGTGGAGCACGCTATGAAGATCAAAAATCCCTATCAGCTATTGAATTCTCCAAAGAAAAGTGTGGAAATATATTAAACACAGCAAAAATGATGATTTGGGTACATCCAGCCCCAACAACAACTGGGAAGCCAGAGATAAAAAGCTGACAAGCAAAACTATGCACAAACAGAGCCAATCTTAAACTCAGATTCAGTTTAGGGTACCAGCTCCTCAGGCACTTGTCCAAACATGCACATCGGAATGTGAATAACTCTGAGGGTATGAGCAGTCTGGTGAAGTCAGTGGGGTTTATTAGGGGGTTCAGACGTGCTGGACCACCAGACAGGCCCAGGGCTCAGGATCCCGCAGGGAGGGTGATGCTCAGCCTGTTTTTCACCATGTTATCTTTCACTTGTGACCTATCACCAAATCAGCACATGATAAATGCACCCACACCTCCTGCTCTGTGGCCGGTGACAAGCAGCACGCAGAGACCTCACTGGGAAATAAAACGTCATTCCTCTGGGACACCCCAGAATTTCACAATTTGCTGAGCGCTGAATCAGAAAAATCAGTGTTTCAAAACTGCCCCCAGAACGGGCACCCCTAAAATGAGGCGGTTTAAAAGTGACAATGGTAAAATTAGAAGTATTAGACACAAAGTACATCAGTCTGCTCTCCTACTGAGGAAACAGCAGCAATAATAAGTTCTCGTGACAGCTGTGGACATGCAATGGGAGAGTCAAGACTTAAATTCCATCACCTATCTGTCAAACCCCAATTCCATCTGAGACATTCCTCAAAGCATCATTTCCCAGAGAACACCATTTTTCTTGTAAAATAGGTCTCAGTTCAATAGCTCTTTGCTTCTTTGCTTCCTATTAGCTCTGGCTTAGGGTCTAAAATCACCAGACCAAACCATCCCCTGTAGTCAGTCTGTCTCCAGCTGCCACCATCAGCAGCATCAATATAAAGACTGACCTCCCAGTTCAGGCAGACACCAAGCCCTGTTAGGTACATGTTAATCATATGCTCTGTTCTGAATAACACGATTTTTGCCATCAGGAGTATCGTATTTGAAATTAAGAGGGGTTTTTTGGTTCATTTAAGAAGAGCATTAAAATTATCCCACTGACACAAATACCTGTCTAAGAGTCTTGCAAGCCAGGAACGAGCTGGAAGAAAAGTCATTTATACACCACATGAGGAGCCTAGTTCCTATAAGATTAAATGGAATAGAAGTTTGGCCACCTATATAAATGGTGATGGGCACAGAACTGGACGAGAAGCAGGAGGATGGAGCCCACCCTCTTGGGTATCAGCTTTCAAAACCCTCCCCAGGTCCCATCTAATTAAAGCATCTTTGGGAAAACCAAGCCCTTGAAACAAAGGGAATTCCAGCACTGCCAAGAATATGCTTTGAAACTCATTGTTTTGTCCTCAGAATGGCAGCAAGGCACGGGAACGCAGGCGAGCATGACGTGTGCATGGGTGAAACACAATGTACCTTTTCCTGCGTCGATACCCAGAATCTTCCACGTGGCTAACGTGGCACCCAACCATCCCGCACTGTCCCAGCCCTTGTGGGGGGATTACAGACTGTTACAGGACACCAAGCCACACTGTAATACTCTAATTTTAATAATAACTCCAATCTACCATGAAATTACAGTTTCCCAAGGGTATTATTATCCCACAGGTGGGGTATAATTTGCACAAGTATAATTTAATCTTGAAAAAAAGCTCAAAAATGAAGTATGGTTAGTAACGATCCTTCATACGCACTTGTATGAGTATCCCCAAGGTGTTACCAGCACTAATTAATTAGGCTCCTACACCCAGTATGATCTTACCATACAGATGAGCCACTCACCCGAGGCTGCGTGACAAGTTCATGCTCTAAAGGCTCTCTGCAATGTCTCCGTCATGCTTGTCAAGGCAGCATCCTACCTCCAAAACCAACAGCAGAGGCCCAGGTGGCACGGCTGGTATCTTCATTATTTGCTCAGTGTACTGGGAGAGATGGGGTGCATAAAGGAATCAGATGGTCTCTAATTAATTTACTGTTAAAAGATTTCTCTTCTATTTTTTTTTTTTCCAAGTAGAGGCAATTACAGCGAAAGCTGCCTAGGGCAACAGATGAAGATTCAACACGAATCAACCTCCCAGCAGGAAGGTTTCTGCTTTGATTTGTAATGGAAGATCAAGTAAAGATGAAATGAAAGTAATTTGTGGAGGAGAGCTAATATGAAAAACGTTTTCTCATGATTTTTGTCCATGTGAATCTGCTGCTTATTGAACAGACATCTCCTTATATGAAAAGTCATTTTGCAAAGTTTCGCATTTAAAAGTATTGTTTGGGTTTGGGTTTTTTCCAACAGAAACCTGGATAATACAACATAATTTAAGAATAAGTATATGCAATGTTATATAAGAATAAGAAGCTTCTAAGTTACCAAAATTGAAACACTCTAAAGGACCCCACACAAGCCGAGATCTGGAGGATTTGAGGATCTCACTGCTGTTCACCTGCACTTCACCGTTTTTGTAGCACTTCGGTCTTCTTCTGTCCTTCTGTGAGCAAAAGCCAGACACAAATCCCATTGATCTCAGGCCAAAGGTGCTAAGGGAAGGGCACAAAAAAGCAAACAAAAATAATCTCTGGTATTGTGGCATCAAGTTCATGGGCCATAGAGATCTCAACTGTCCCCATTCTGCTCATAGTGAGCTCTGCTACCACCCCACAGAGATCTCAACTGTCCCCATTCTGCTCATAGTGAGCTCTGCTACCACCACACAGCAACCCCCACCCAAACCCACCACCACACAGAGATCTCAACTGTCCCCATTCTGCTCATAGTGAGCTCTGCTACCACCAGCACTTCTGTTCTTTCCTCAGAATTTCACCCTGGTGGTATTTTTGCATGTGTGAGCATGGTACCTATATAAATTCATACCTAAGCAGACGCACACTTACATTAAAATGCACCCTCCCTTTCGTGCATATATATGTTTTATAGCTACACTAGATTCTTTAAAATCTGAATTACAATCAGCTGTAAAATAACTTTACAGCCTGGATGAGGTGGAACCAGCCAGTGCCTGAATTGCCACATGGCAACTGCTATTTCTGGGTTAAAATGATAGGTAAGGGGATGATAAGTTAAATAACCCGTTTGAGGACGTGAAGGTGCAGCTGGGCTTGGCCAAAGATGAATCAGGAGAACGTCCACAAAGGGTGTCTCCTTTCCGTAGCTCCGTCAAGGACCCTATAAAAGCACTCAGGTCCTCTGATCACTCCGCACGGCTTCACAGGAATCCCACTTGATCCCATTGGTGATCTGGGTAAGTCACTCCTTCTGAAACGTACCCTTTGCTGGGCAAGGATGTATGGTTTCTATAGGATTTGTGTTGGGTGGCAGCGTCATTTGTGCCACAGTATTTTCTGAGTCTTTTGCATTTATATTCATTGAGGTGCTGTTTTGTGTTATTGGGACACCTGCGTGATGTCGTTATGCGGCCATGTCTAGAGGCAGCTTTTCTCATAGGGAAAATGAAAGAGGGAGCCAGGCTTTGTGCCTTACTTTGGTCTGGGGTCAGGTCCCAGCTGGAACGAGCAGATTGGAGAATTTCTACAGGATTTCAGCAGAGGTGTGCTGTGTGCATGCATATGCGCACGTTGGAGAGATGGCAAGGCAGACAGGTCACAGCTTCCCCAGCTGCAAGCTGAGATCTCAGCACTGATAACAAGCTTGGGGATCCTGCAAGGAGGAAGGAATAGGGTGGCTTTTGAGGTTTCCAGACACAAAGCTCCAACAGGAGCACTGCTTTCTGCCAAGCAGATCTCAGTAAAACTAAATAAGTAGCTCTGATCTAAGAGATCAGACAAAAATCTATCTGCCAATAACTTCAGTTGTAATGAAAGCTTTATCAGTTGTTTTGTATTATTGCTGGTCACAGGAGCATCAGCCACAGGGCTTGTTTTAACTCCCTGTAAGCACTCCATCTGTGACCCAGCTAGATCTTGTCTCAGGCCATGCCAGCCTCTAACCTGCTTCAAAGAAGCCGTTGTAACTCAGTGCCAGGCAGAGACAGCAGCATGGGTCCTGGAAACACAAGTACCTGGTAGAACCCCCTGTATGAAGGCAGGTTCTTGGGGCATCTCTTGAGTCACCATCCCCAGTTCCCTCCCTGCGACCCATAAATGCCAGTATCCTGCCATCCCCTATCAAACGTCATTCAAATACATTAGTACACACTTGGAAGACACTCCCCATCCCACTAAAACCCCATAGCATTTGGATTTCTTCCCAGTGCCCTGGTGAAACAGAGCTCACCATGGCACAGGAGCAGACACACGGATCAGGGCACCTAGCATCCCATTAACGCACACAGCCTAACTGCAGCAATTCTCCTTCCTCTTTTCATGCTCAGAGGCAAACAAACCTCAAATCCTTGGGCCTGGTCCTTTTCTTGCAGGCTTGCTTGAATCTGCAGGAAGATGTCTCGCTTCTTAGACGGCATTTCCACCATCATCAGCATCTTTCACAAATATGCAAAGGAAGATGGAGACTGCTCCAACCTCGGCCACAGGAAGATGCAAGAGCTCATCCAGAGGGAGTTTGCAGATGTCATAGCTGTGAGTGCTGCTGCAAGGGGGGGAGGGGGGGGGGGCTTGAGGCCCAGACTGGAGTGTAGGGACTACAAAAATCTCCTGGAGAGGAGGTTATTCTTATGATGGTGGGACTGGAAGGCTTTCAGCAAAGGGGAGCAGCAGTTATGCTCCTTTGCACTGACTGCTTTCACAGATCATCCAACTCATTTTTTCCATCAGAAAATAAGCAAAAGCTGGAGAATGGGCCATCGGGAAGTACGCTTTTCTTTCAAAGGTAGGAAGGAAATGGATCCAGTAGAGGGATTCAGTATGTGCCCAAAGACAGCTGGGCAGCTGGGGCCAGGGGACAACTAGGAAAATGGATAACAAAGACATGGAGTTGTTGTTGAGCTGTAAAAGTGAAGCCATGCGAGACAGAAGGAGAAAAGATTGCAGTTGTCCCTTTCTTTGCATTTCCTGACAAAAAGCAGGAAACCTAAACCACCTTTTTTGTTTCCCTGTGTGTTTTTTCCCTGCAGAAGCCACGTGACCCTCAGACAATAGACAAGATTCTGCAGTTCCTGGAGTGGGATGGTGATGGGCATATTGATTTTAATGAATTCCTGCTTTTGGTGTTCAGAGTGGCTAAAGCCTGCTACTGGTTCCAGTCGAAGGGACCATACATTCGGCAAAGAACAAAGCTGACATCCAGTGGCAAGTTGCACCAAGAGCCTGAAATTAAGAACAGAGGGAGCAGTCGACAGCTCCAGGAGGAGGAAGAACCAACGTGTGAGAATCATCACCATCCCCCCTGTGAACCCAAACTGCAACGAGACACCAGAGTCAATGAGCTTGAAACACTAGAGGAAATAGGGAGCTACCAACAACGTGACACACAAAGCGTAAATGATGCAATACGAAGCAGTGAGCGAAGGGAGCCAATCCCTCAGGTGTATGAAGAACGAAGCCGAGAGCCATGCGACCAACGGAACAGACAGAGAAGACGTCAGCCACCAGAGCCAAACAGAAGAGGAGATGTACAAATCCACAAGCACAGAAGCTTGGAAGCACAGGAGCCCAGGCTGCGAAGAGATGAGAGGAAATATCAAGAGGGGCTACAGCAAGACCAACTGGCAGACAGAAGGAGTCGCAGCCAGGCCTGTGAAACAAGACCACTGCAAAACCGGTGGGGTAGCCGTCAGCCACATGAGCCAGTAGGACCAGCAAATGATGAGAGAAACCAGTGGCCACAAGAAGCAGATAGAGGAAGTGACAATCAGCCACGTAAACCTGAATTACTCACAGAAGAGAGAAGCCGCTACCACCTGCGTGAGCTGGAACAAAGAGCACTTGAAGAGAGGAGCGACAAGCTACGTGAGCCTGAATGCCTGGATTCAAGAGGCCCACATCAGTCATACATAAAGGAACCACTAGAAATTGACCTCAGGTACTGTAATACCTGTGAGCTGGAAAGATGTATCGATGAACAAGGTACAAATGAGGAACATAACCTTGAATACGTGGAAAGTGAGAGTGAAAACCGTAAAATGAAGGAGTGGGAAGAAAGAGACGATAGAAGGAGGAAAGCTAGAGAAGAGGAAAGGAGGGTTGATATAAAACGGGAGCGTGACCACGAGGTCTATGAGGGCCACAGCTCTCAGACACATGAAAGGGAAGAACAAAGTGCCAAAACCAAACAAAGAGAGAGACGCGAAAGGCGTGACTTTGTAGCACATGATACTGAAATCGATGGAAGGAGGCGACATGACCTAGTAAGGCTTGAGAGGACACGAGAGAGAGATGCAGTGGAAGCAGAAGCTGATGTGAAGATCCATCGCGTGTCCCGGGAACTGGAGCCCCCTGAGAAGCTCGAAAGAAGGGAGCGAGACCTGGACCAATTTGAAGCAGAGGAAGAGAGAATTTACCTGGAAAGAGAGAGGGAGGAGCCTCTGCGAGAGAGAAGGGTCAAGCGACAACGGGAGCTGGATCTGGAGGTCATTGAGCGTCGACGCCGCCAGGCACGTGAAAGGGAAGAGCGAGGAGCCACCATCAACCAGAGAGAGAGACGAGAGAGACGTGACTTTGAAGAACGTGAGGCTGAAATCGATGGAAGGAGGCAACGCGACCTTGTGAGGCTTGAGAGGACACGAGAGAGGGATGTAGTGGCAGCAGAAGCTGATGTGAAGATCCATCGCGTGTCCCGGGAACTGGAGCCCCGTGACAGAGTAGAAAGAAGAGAGCGTGATTTTGAGCATCTTGAGGCAGAGGAAGAGAGGAGGGAGTACCTGGAAAGTGAAGTTGAAGAGGCTACAAGGGAGAGAAGGGTCGAGCGCCAAAGGGAGCTGGACCTTGTGAGGATGGAGAGGACACGAGAGGCTGATGTAGTGGCAGCAGAAGCTGATGTGAAGATCCATCGCGTGTCCCGGGAACTGGAGCCCCGTGACAGAGTCGAAAGAAGGGAGCGTGACCTGGAGCGTTTTGAAGCAGAGGAAGAGAGAAGAATTTACCTGGAAAGAGAGAGGGAGGAGCCTCTGCGGGAGAGAAGGGTCGAGCGACAACGGGAGCTGGATCTGGAGGTCATTGAGCGTCGACGCCGCCAGGCACGTGAAAGGGAAGAGCGAGGAGCCACCATCAACCAGAGAGAGAGACGAGAGAGACGTGACTTTGAAGAACGTGAGGCTGAAATCGATGGAAGGAGGCAACGCGACCTTGTGAGGCTTGAGAGGACACGAGAGAGGGATGTAGTGGCAGCAGAAGCTGATGTGAAGATCCATCGCGTGTCCCGGGAACTGGAGCCCCGTGACAGAGTAGAAAGAAGAGAGCGTGATTTTGAGCATCTTGAGGCAGAGGAAGAGAGGAGGGAGTACCTGGAAAGAGAGGTTGAAGAGGCTACGAGGGAGAGAAGGGTCGAGCGCCAAAGGGAGCCTGACCTTGTGAGGATGGAGAGGACACGAGAGGCTGATGTAGTGGCAGCAGAAGCTGATGTGAAGATCCATCGCGTGTCCCGGGAACGTGAGGCCCGTGACAGAGTCGAAAGAAGGGAGCGTGACCTGGAGCATTTTGAAGCAGAGGAAGAGAGAAGAATTTACCTGGAAAGAGAGAGGGAGGAGCCTCTGCGGGAGAGAAGGGTCGAGCGCCAACGGGAGCTGGATCTGGAGGTCATTGAGCGTCGACGCCGCCAGGCACGTGAAAGGGAAGAGCGAGGAGCCAACATCAACCAGAGAGAGAGACGCGAGAGACGTGACTTTGAAGAACGTGAGGCTGAAATCGATGGAAGGAGGCAACGCGACCTTGTGAGGCTTGAGAGGACACGAGAGAGGGATGTAGTGGCAGCAGAAGCTGATGTGAAGATCCATCGCGTGTCCCGGGAACTGGAGCCCCGTGACAGAGTAGAAAGAATAGAGCGTGATTTTGAGCATCTTGAGGCAGAGGAAGAGAGGAGGGAGTACCTGGAAAGAGAGGTTGAAGAGGCTATGAGGGAGAGAAGGGTCGAGCGCCAAAGGGAGCCTGACCTTGTGAGGATGGAGAGGACACGAGAGGCTGATGCAGTGGCAGCAGAAGCTGATGTGAAGATCCATCGCGTGTCCCGGGAACGTGAGCCCCGTGACAGAGTCGAAAGAAGGGAGCGTGACCTGGAGCGTTTTGAAGCAGAGGAAGAGAGAAGAATTTACCTGGAAAGAGAGAGGGAGGAGCCTCTGCGGGAGAGAAGGGTCGAGCGACAACGGGAGCTGGATCTGGAGGTCATTGAGCGTCGACGCCGCCAGGCACGTGAAAGGGAAGAGCGAGGAGCCAACATCAACCAGAGAGAGAGACGAGAGAGACGTGACTTTGAAGAACGTGAGGCTGAAATCGATGGAAGGAGGCAACGCGACCTTGTGAGGCTTGAGAGGACACGAGAGAGGGATGTAGTGGCAGCAGAAGCTGATGTGAAGATCCATCGCGTGTCCCGGGAACTGGAGCCCCGTGACAGAGTAGAAAGAAGGGAGCGTGATTTTGAGCATCTTGAGGCAGAGGAAGAGAGGAGGGAGTACCTGGAAAGAGAGGTTGAAGAGGCTACAAGGGAGAGAGGGGTCGAGCGCCAAAGGGAGCTGGACCTTGTGAGGATGGAGAGGACACGAGAGGCTGATGCAGTGGCAGCAGAAGCTGATGTGAAGATCCATCGCGTGTCCCGGGAACGTGAGCCCCGTGACAGAGTCGAAAGAAGGGAGCGTGACCTGGAGCGTTTTGAAGCAGAGGAAGAGAGAAGAATTTACCTGGAAAGAGAGAGGGAGGAGCCTCTGCGGGAGAGAAGGGTCGAGCGACAACGGGAGCTGGATCTGGAGGTCATTGAGCGTCGACGCCGCCAGGCATGTGAAAGGGAAGAGCGAGGAGCCACCATCAACCAGAGAGAGAGACGAGAGAGACGTGACTTTGAAGAACGTGAGGCTGAAATCGATGGAAGGAGGCAACGCGACCTTGTGAGGCTTGAGAGGACACGAGAGAGGGATGTAGTGGCAGCAGAAGCTGATGTGAAGATCCATCGCGTGTCCCGGGAACTGGAGCCCCGTGACAGAGTCGAAAGAAGGGAGCGTGATTTTGAGCATCTTGAGGCAGAGGAAGAGAGGAGGGAGTACCTGGAAAGAGAGGTTGAAGAGGCTACGAGGGAGAGAAGGGTCGAGCGCCAAAGGGAGCCTGACCTTGTGAGGATGGAGAGGACACGAGAGGCTGATGTAGTGGCAGCAGAAGCTGATGTGAAGATCCATCGCGTGTCCCGGGAACGTGAGGCCCGTGACAGAGTCGAAAGAAGGGAGCGTGACCTGGAGCATTTTGAAGCAGAGGAAGAGAGAAGAATTTACCTGGAAAGAGAGAGGGAGGAGCCTCTGCAGGAGAGAAGGGTCGAGCGCCAACGGGAGCTGGATCTGGAGGTCATTGAGCGTCGACGCCGCCAGGCACGTGAAAGGGAAGAGCGAGGAGCTACAGCCAACCAGAGAGAGAGACGAGAGAGACGTGACTTTGAAGAACGTGAGGCTGAAATCGATGGAAGGAGGCAACGCGACCTTGTGAGGCTTGAGAGGACACGAGAGAGGGATGTAGTGGCAGCAGAAGCTGATGTGAAGATCCATCGCGTGTCCCGGGAACTGGAGCCCCGTGACAGAGTCGAAAGAAGGGAGCGTGATTTTGAGCATCTTGAGGCAGAGGAAGAGAGGAGGGAGTACCTGGAAAGAGAGGTTGAAGAGGCTACGAGGGAGAGAAGGGTCGAGCGCCAAAGGGAGCCTGACCTTGTGAGGATGGAGAGGACACGAGAGAGGGATGTAGTGGCAGCAGAAGCTGATGTGAAGATCCATCGCGTGTCCCGGGAACGTGAGCCCCGTGACAGAGTCGAAAGAAGGGAGCGTGACCTGGAGCGTTTTGAAGCAGAGGAAGAGAGAAGAATTTACCTGGAAAGAGAGAGGGAGGAGCCTCTGCAGGAGAGAAGGGTCGAGCGCCAACGGGAGCTGGATCTGGAGGTCATTGAGCGTCGACGCCGCCAGGCACGTGAAAGGGAAGAGCGAGGAGCTACAGCCAACCAGAGAGAGAGACGCGAGAGACGTGACTTTGAAGAACGTGAGGCTGAAATCGATGGAAGGAGGCAACGCGACCTTGTGAGGCTTGAGAGGACACGAGAGAGGGATGTAGTGGCAGCAGAAGCTGATGTGAAGATCCATCGCGTGTCCCGGGAACTGGAGCCCCGTGACAGAGTAGAAAGAAGAGAGCGTGATTTTGAGCATCTTCAGGCAGAGGAAGAGAGGAGGGAGTACCTGGAAAGAGAGGTTGAAGAGGCTACGAGGGAGAGAAGGGTCGAGCGCCAAAGGGAGCTGGACCTTGTGAGGGTGAAGAGGACACGAGAGGCTGATGCAGTGGCAGCAGAAGCTGATGTGAAGATCCATCGCGTGTCCCGGGAACTGGAGCCCCATGACAGAGTAGAAAGAATAGAGCGTGATTTTGAGCATCTTGAGGCAGAGGAAGAGAGGAGGGAGTACCTGGAAAGAGAGGTTGAAGAGGCTACCAGGGAGAGAGGGGTCGCGCGCCAAAGGGAGCTGGACCTTGTGAGGATGGAGAGGACACGAGAGGCTGATGCAGTGGCAGCAGAAGCTGAAGTGAAGATCCATCGCGTGTCCCGGGAACGTGAGCCCCATGACAGAGTCGAAAGAAGGGAGCGTGACCTGGAGCGTTTTGAAGCAGAGGAAGAGAGAAGAATTTACCTGGAAAGAGAGAGAGAGGAGCCTCTGCGGGAGAGAAGGGTCAAGCGCCAAAGGGAGCTGGACCTTCTGAGGCAGGAGAGGACACGAGAGGCCGATGTAGTGGCAGCAGAAGCTGATGTGAAGATCGATCGCGTGTCCCGGGAACGTGAGCCCCAAGAGGAGCTCGAAAGAAGGGAGCGTGACCTGGAGTATTTGGATGCAGAGGAAGAGAGAAGGGTTTACCTGGAAAGAGAGAGGGAGGAGCCTCTGCGAGAGAGAAGGGTCGAGCGACAACGGGAGCTGGATCTGGAGGTCATTGAGCGTCGACGCCGCCAGGCACGTGAAAGGGAAGAGCGAGGAGCCAACATCAAACAGAGAGAGAGACGCGAGAGACGTGACTTTGAAGAACGTGAGGCTGAAATCGATGGAAGGAGGCAACGCGACCTTGTGAGGCAGGAGAGGACACGAGAGAGGGATGTAGTGGCAGCAGAAGCTGATGTGAAGATCCATCGCGTGTCCCGGGAACTGGAGCCCCGTGACAGAGTAGAAAGAATAGAGCGTGATTTTGAGCATCTTGAGGCAGAGGAAGAGAGGAGGGAGTACCTGGAAAGAGAGGTTGAAGAGGCTACAAGGGAGAGAGGGGTCGAGCGCCAAAGGGAGCTGGACCTTGTGAGGATGGAGAGGACACGAGAGAGGGATGTAGTGGCAGCAGAAGCTGATGTGAAGATCCATCGCGTGTCCCGGGAACGTGAGCCCCGTGACAGAGTCGAAAGAAGGGAGCGTGATTTTGAGCATTTTGAAGCAGAGGAAGAGAGAAGAATTTACCTGGAAAGAGAGAGGGAGGACCAGAGAAGGGTCGAGCAGCAAGGGAGCTGGATCTGAGGTCATTGAGCGTCGACGCCGCCAGGCACGTGAAAGGGAAGACCGAGGAGCCACCATCAACCAGAGAGAGAGACGCGAGAGACGTGACTTTGAAGAACGTGAGGCTGAAATCGATGCAAGGAGGCAACGTGACCTTGTGAGGCTTGAGAGGACACGAGAGGCTGATGCAGTGGCAGCAGAAGCTGAAGTGAAGATCCATCGCGTGTCCCGGGAATTGGAGCCCCGTGACAGAGTAGAAAGAAGGGAGCGTGACCTGGAGCGTTTTGAAGCAGAGGAAGAGAGAAGAATTTACCTGGAAAGAGAGAGAGAGGAGCCTCTGCGAGAGAGAAGGGTCGAGCGACAACGGGAGCTGGATCTGGAGGTCATTGAGCGTCGACGCCGCCAGGCACGTGAAAGGGAAGAGCGAGGAGCCACCATCAACCAGAGAGAAAGACGCGAGAGACGTGACTTTGAAGAACGTGAGGCTGAAATCGATGGAGGGAGGCAACGCGACCTTGTGAGGCTTGAGAGGACACGAGAGAGGGATGTAGTGGCAGCAGAAGCTGATGTGAAGATCCATCGCGTGTCCCGGGAATTGGAGCCCAGTGGGGAGCTGGAAAGGAGGGAGCGTGACCTGGAGCGTCTTGATGCAGAGGAAGAGAGAAGGGTTTACCGGGAAAGAGAGAGGGAGGAGCCCGTGAGGAGGAGAAGGATCAAGCATCAACAGGATCTGGACCTTGAGGTCTATGATCATCGCCACCGCCAGGCACGTGAAAGGGAAGATCGAGGTGCCACGACCTCAATACAAACACGTGAGAGGAATCTCTACCAAACCCTTGACGTTGATAACGGAGACCTCTGCCTCCCAGACGATTAGGCGTCTGTCACTGACATGAGGGTCAGTTATGTCCCTGCCGCACGTGATGTACCAGTGGCGTGACTCTTCTGCAAGGCAAAAACCCTTAAAATTCCCAATACCTCAATCATACTGGGGCCTGAAAATCCTCAGGGCTGGGGAAAGAAAAAACAAACAAACAAACAAAAAAAAAAAAAAAAGGAATCTGTAGACTGAGAGCTTTTGGTTTCACCCTTCTGCTCCCCTAACAGCTGAGCAGAGGCTTCGAAGCAGCTGAGCTGTGCTGTGGTTACGGCAGGGTAATGGTGGCGGGTGGAGGGTCTCCCTTTCTTCTTCACACTGATGTATTGCATGAAAAATCAGAATAAAGAGCTGATGACTGCACTTACTGCTGACATCTCTCATCCTTTCATCTCATCTACAAGGGCCTCAGCCTGACGGGGGGTGGCTCACTTCAGCTCACACATTCCTCCCAATCCCAGGCATTTAATCCAGGCAGGGGTGCTGAAAATCCCACCTAATCCCCCCTTCTATACGCCCAGAAGCCCACATACCTCTGGCCCTTACCACTGATCTACATGGTTTCAGGGGCTTCCTGCACATGCTGTGCTCCATGATCCACACAGGGATGTCCGGGTGCACCCCAGCTCTTCAGCCCTCAGGGCATCTTTGTGGCCCTCCTCTGGACTCGCTCGAAGAGCTCCACTTCCCTCTTGTGCTGGGGGCTTTTTCTTTCTCTTGAGCAACAGAGAACCGCTTCCCTCAGCAGGTGGGGCTGTGAATCTGTGAGGTGACCAAGAGAGAAGCAAGGACAACCCCAGCATCGCTGCATCCTGCTCTTTAAAGCAACCAGGCTGGTAACAGGCCAGGAGGAACCAAGGCACCGCAGCCTGGTTCACCCCAGCAGGCAGCACTCAGGGCTTCGCGCTCACACAGCCAAACCCAGTGCCCAGTGACATCTTGAACCCGGTGCCAGGGGCACTCAAAGGATCTGTCCCAGCCAGGGGCAGGCAGATGCATGGGGTGATGCTCTCAGCCATGCCCCCTTCGCACACACAGCAGTCATGCGCATTGGTGGCAAGCATATGGCAGCACAGATGGGCTGTCTGCAAACGGGGCCAAAGCCCTGACTGCAAACACACACAGCAGTAAGAAAGCAAACCCTCCTGAGGTCCCCCCCACGCAGCCAGGACGCGGTTGGGATGGGCTCGTGCAAAGAGGGAAAGGGCACTCACCTCTCGGAACAGTTCATGGTTTATTACTAAAGGAAGGCAAAGAGGAGTTTGTAAAATGCAGGTGGAAATGCAAAGCCCAAGGAGAAAAGGGGCGGCTTTCCTGCCCTCAGCCTCCAGCTTTGGGAAATCCTTTTGATTTACATGGACTGAGCTGTTTCCAGTTTGGGAGGGGTTGGAAGGAGAAGGGGAGGAGGTACTCCTTCCTCCAATACATGGGGGAAAAAGAGCTTGGGGGCAGGAAACTGGGGCAAGAAAGGAAAACGCACTGGGGAGACGTGTTCCCTGCTGTGCTGCTTGCCGCTGTCCTCAGTTAGGGTCTCCAGCGGGGTCCCCGAAGAGCCCCGTCCCTGGAAGCCGCCCCAGAGCCCAGCGCACATCCCTGCAGCCTCCGCATCCCTTCCTCTCCCCTTGAAGCGCCTGGGGCCGCACGGCACCGCCCGGGGCCGGGACTCACAGGGAAATCCGGCCTCGGGCGGGCGATTCAGCGTCAGCGGCGGTTGCGAAGGCGGGGAGCTGGGGGTGGTTGTGCAAACACCGCGTATCCCAGCAACTCCCCTGGCTCCCAATGGATGGGGAGCGGCTGGGAACCCCAGCTCCATGCGCTGGTGCCTGGCAGCCGCCACCCTCAGCTCCTTGGGCACCTTACTTGCTTTTCTGGGTGCCTTTCTGGTGCCTCCTGTTCCCCCTCTGTGTCTCCCCGTTTTCAGGGTCTCTCACTGTGCAGCAGCACAAGGGGGGCCAGCCCCGGTGAGGAGCTCAGCCCAGCACCACTGGGGACAAACCCCTGCTGCAGCCAGCTCCCAGTGCAGCATCCCAACCCTATGGGGCTGCCTTCACCCCTTTTCCCAGGGAGCCGCAGGGGGGACCGGTCAAAGGTGAAGGGGACAGGCAGCAGATGACACCCAGGGTGGGCAGGGGAATGGTGCCTGCTCCCCGACACCCCATCTGCCTTGACCAGGCTCTTTGGAAGAGCTTGGGAAGCTCAAATCTCACCACAGCAAAAAGAAATATTGTGGAAGCTCTGGGTACCAGCGAGGAGCCTAACTCTGAGCCTGGGGATGGAGTGAAGGAGTTATAAACGAGCACATTGCAAGGGATCAGGGGTGAAAAGGGATGAGGAGGAGGAAAGGTGTGGGTAACTGTAAGGAATAAAGCTCATGAAGCAAAGGGGCAGAGTCTGAAGGAGGGGCCCAGCACATTCCCGAGCCCGAGCTGGGGACCGCTGGCACGTCCAGATCTGCCGTTAGGGATGACGATTGCCCAACGCAGCCCAAGGGGCTGAGTCAGGGCTGGGAAGGGCGGTGGCTGCGGGGTGAAGCTCAAAACCACCCCAGCTCCTGCTCTGCCACTTTGCACCGCGGCAGGAACCAAGCCCCCTCCTCGCACCGCAGCCATGGTGAGTGCACCGGGACCCCGTTTGGGGAGGGAGAGCCAGGTCCTTAAGGGCAGGAGGGCGATGGAAAAGGCGCTTTTCCTACAAGTGGCCCCAGAGCTGAAGGCACGAGGCGGTTTGGCACCGGAGAGAGCAGGCGGCACCAAGGGCTGAGCCCAATCTTTGCCAGAGAGGGGGCCTGGGTAGGGGAAGAGGGTGCAGAGGTTGAGAGGGAGGGCAGAGGGTCCCTGCAGGTGTGGGGCACTATGGGGTGGGCATTTGAGTTGTTCTCCCCCATCCCCTTCACTCCCCTCTTCTCCTTTTTCCCACTGGTACTTCCGCTGCCCATCACCAGACTCAGGGCTGCAGCTCCACCCCTCTGCCCCCCCAGCACCAGGGGAGCCAAGAGCTAAGGACCTGAGGCTGAGTAAGCTGAGCCCCTGTCACATTCACCAAGCTGAGGCTGAGGCCGGGCAGGATGTGGCAGGGAGGCCCCAGGATGCTGAGGCTCCCCCCAGCCCTGCCTGCACTGCCCTGCCCCAGAGACTGGAGCCCTGCATCCCCCCCACCTTGCCCTGTCCAACCCTGCTGCGGAAGGAGCCAACTCCGCTTGCATTTTTCTCTTATGACTCAGTCTCTGCCCTGCGCAGACAGGGCAGGGGGAAGGAAAGGGGGGAGGACGGGGTTATCTGTCCAGAAACCCAGCCCCAGCCGAGCTGCAGCGCATGCAACAAAGCCCAGCAGGTCACTGCGGTTGCAGCATCAGCTTTTCCCAGTCCTGAACACTCCTCTATGGGAGCTGCCATGTCCCCAAGGGATTTTCCATGAGCCACTCCCCAGCCTCCTGGGTCCTTCCTGCACCACAGCAACAAGAAATGCAGTTGGACAGGTTGGGCATAGGAGAGTGCTCCAAGTGCAGGAGGCCCCTCCAGCCCAGCTCCAGAGCTCCCTTCCCCACCCCACTGACCTTGCTTCTTGCTCCAGCAGCCCACAGAGACCGAGCGCTGCATCGAGTCCCTGCTCGCCGTCTTCCAGCGGTACGCGGGGCGCGAAGGGGACAACTGCACCCTCTCCAAGAAGGAGTTCCTGGCCTTCATGAACACCGAGCTGGCCGCCTTCACAAAGGTGAGCAAGGCCACGAGAGGCTCCTGAGGCTTCAGCCCCCAGGATGGCAGTTAAAGCCTCTGAGCACCACGGTGGGCAATGGGACGAGCTCTCTCCCACCAGGAGCCAGAGCAATGCGAGTTGGCCTGGCTGGATCCTGCCTCCCTCCATCAATCCCTGTCCTCTGGCACTGAACAGGTTTGGAGAGGGGCAGACATAAATTCAAACTCTCTTTGGTCTTCTGCAGAACCAGAAGGACCCGGGTGTTGTGGACAGGATGATGAAGAAACTGGATTTGAACAGTGATGGGCAGCTCGACTTCCAGGAGTTCCTGAACCTCATCGGGGGCATTGCGGTGGCCTGCCACGAATCCCTGGTGGTTAATGCCCATCCCCGCTAGTCCTGCCCATTAGTGTCTCCCCCCCCGCTGTGCACATTCCTGGAACAAAAGCAATGCAAAGCTGGAAGCAGAATGGGATGTACCCAGTCTCCTTTTTTATGTATAAAATAAAAGGTTTCAAACCCTAGTGGAAGGCATGGTTTTATTTCAGCATCATGAGGGAGGAGAAAGGACTAAGAAAGTAAATCCAGGCACAGAGGGAGCAGGATCTCAGTCCAGCCCTCTGCTGCTCCACTGATGTGCAAACACACGTTCTTATCCTCATCACTGCCGGAAAATACAACCTGCCTGGCTCTGGAGCTCCTCCAGCCTGGTAAATGCCACAGGGAAAGGTACAGCAACACAACAGGGTACAACCACACGAGGTAAATGCAAAGGCAGGAGCCTCACCAATCAGGATAATTTGAGCACTGACAACTGCAATTACACGCTAATAATTAGCCAAAGCAGCCCCTGCTGGCATGATACGTTATGTCAGGCCTACAGCCTCCATTTTCTGGAGCCTCCAAACCTGGCAATGGACAGGAAAGGGAGGTGAAGAGAGAAAATTCAATCAAATCTCTCTTCTCTCTCAGTAAGACCAACTGAGCACCAGAAAGATCAAGGTGGTCAATTCACTTTATTGATGAGGCAAGCTGATTATTTCAGAGAAATGCTGCTAGGACACCAAAACAAGCAGTTACCACTAGCACCTGAACACTGCTGAGCTGCTCTCCTGCCTCTTCTGAGCTACCCCCAGAGCAGGGACTGGCCCTGGCCCTGGTTTCAGGCATTCCCATGAGAGCCAGGCTTGGCTCTTCCTGCTGCCCAGACTGCAGCAGGGCTCTGAGCTCTTCTTTCAGGAGCTCAGCACTAAGGATGTAAGAGGCAGCCGCTGGCTTTTCCCTCTGGAAAAGATTTGCCTTAAGAA